GGGGGGAGGGTCCCGGCCTGGATCAGCGCACCCTTCCCGCCCTCGGCACTCACCAGATCTGTATTCGCACCTTGATACCATCCACTTCTATGGTCTTCATCTTGAAGTCCACCCCTGGGGGAGGGAAGGGGGAGGGGAGAGCTGTTACAGGGAGCGGGGCTGCAAACTGCCCCAAACGCCACGCGATCACCACTTGCATCCCGGGAGTCGCGTCCCAGCCGATCGGCAGCCACAGGCCTGCACGCCCCGGGTGCGCTAGGCTAGAGACAACCCCTGACCAGCTGAGATGGGCAGTTCTACCAGGATCTCTCACCCCCTCCCTCTAGGCTGGAGGGACAGAACGGTGCCCTGGTACGACTGGAGTCAGCAGGAGCCGCCCCTGTTGGACGCAGCCCCGTGTCTCCTCTCCAGCTCTCAGCCAGGCTGTGCTCGTAAGGCCAGAGCCTGGACAGGAGAGCGGGCTGGGTCCTGTGCAGCTCCAACCATGTGCATCCCCCTCGAGGGCAGCATGTGCCGTGGTTAGAGAGGAGTAGGCGGATGCTCACTCCTTGCCCAAGCTGCTCCCCATTTCCCACAGGTCCCCACGCCTTGGAGCCACCCAATCCCATCTGCGCACCCCGCAGCCTCCCCTCTCCGCAGGGTGCCCTGTAAGCTGAGCACTTGGGCACCCCCCAGGAGAGATTCCAATGCCACTCGGCTGATTAGCAGAGTGCCCCCAGCCGGCAGCCTGTGTTCCTACTGCTGGTGCACATGCCGCAGCGCATATAACAAAATTTATTCTGCACATGGATGGAAAAAATTAGAGGGAACACTGCTCTCCAGGATCTGCTGGATTTCAGCCAGGCATCCTTAACATGCCCTCTCCCCCTTTCCATAAGACTGGGAGACCTGTCTGGGTGTTAGAGGAGGGTTCGGAGGAGCAGGTGGCATACTCTGGCGCACTGCGTGCTGGCTCTGTGCTGCAGAGGGGCAGCAGTAGGGGGAAGCCAGGGTGCTGGCCCAAGCCTGGTGGCTCCCAATAGTAGGCAACAGCATCATCTCCAACCATCCTGCTGGGAGCAGGCCGGTGCTCTGGAGGTGCTGGCCAGGCAGGCTTGGAGTGCTGTTTCGCAGGCTCACCCGCCCCCCGGGCAGTGCTCTGGGCTCGGTGTTTGCAGCTGTCCGTCAGTGGGCTTAGGAGATGAGCAAGGATACGATTTGGTCATTCCATGACTTTAAGGGGCTCGCTCCTCAAGCCATGGCTGCAGGAACAGCAGCTGGACAGGGACTGTTAGCTGCCCCCACCCACCTCCTGGGCATTTCTAGTAAAAGTCGGGGACAGGCTGTGCTTCTGTGAATTTTTATTCCCCACAACCTGCCCCTGACTTTTACTAAAAATACCAGAGACAAAATCTGAGCCTTAGAGATGAGCATCAACCATTCAGATTACCAGCCCCTTGCTCTCAGACGCTGACGCTAATCTCCCAAGCCTCGTTCGTGGATGGCACACATACCCCACCAGCGCTTCCTAGGCCAATGGGCTACGTGCGGGGGGAGAGTGTTGCTTCCGGGCCAGCAGTGAGGCCTAGTGAGCAGAGCAGCGGTTCTAAGAGCAGAGCCTAGCACACAGGTCTGCCAGGTACATTCTGAGAGGCAGGGCAGCTGAGCCTCTGCTCCTGTTCCCAGTTCTGCCAGGAGTGACCTTACGCAAGCGTAAGTCGCCACACAGACACAGGAAGAGGATATCTGCCTGCTTCTGACAGTCGGGATCTGAGACCTATTAATCAGGGCTGTGAAATACTCAACAGTACGGGTTGAACCTCTCTGGTCTGGCACTCTCTGGTCTGACATGATTTTGGTGAGCCAAATGTCCACATATCATGAGTGTGGCCAAATTTCTAGCAGTCCCATAAAGTTTGTTTCCAGCCATCAGTCTTGGCTCTTCAGTATTCTGTGCTAAAAAAAAACTTTAAAAAATCAACAAATGGTCCTGCAGCACCTTAGAGACTAACAAAACATGTCGATGGGATTGTGAATTTTTTCAGGCACAACCCACTTCTTCAGATGAATGTAGTTATTAAAGGTCCAGTTTCCGACTAAATAGGGAATGTGGGGGGAAGAAGGAAAAAAAAGGGGAAGAAATAGTAAATTAGTGTCTCCATTATTTAGCTCTAATTTACCCCTAAATGCCTTCTGAGAGACCAGAAAGCAGTGGACGTGTTGGTGATGCTACTAGACAATATAGACCTCCCATGGTTCAGCAAATTCTCTGGTTCGGCACTGGTTAGGTCCCAAGGATGCCAGACCAGAGAGGTTCAACCTGTATTAGCAACAGGCAGCAGAAGCGGGGCTCAAACTCATGATATCCTGGCTCAGAGTCCCGTGATTTCTCTAGGGTAGTGAGCATGTTGATGTCAGAGACCGGCCGGCCCAGGCATCTCATGCAGGCTTGCGAGCATGTGCCATGCAGCTGGAAAAAGCAGAGGGTTAAGGGCAAGCCCAAGTTCTCCTGTGTCTGTGCAAGGGGCCCTTCCAGGACTTGGCACCAGGGCCAGACCTGAAGGATTGACAAAGGGAAGGTGAAAGCCCCCTCTGTGATCCTAGGACCCTATAAGATTTCGCAGGCCGGCCCAGGCATCTCATGCAGGCTTGCGAGCATGTGCCATGCAGCTGGAAAAAGCAGAGGGTTAAGGGCAAGCCCAAGTTCTCCTGTGTCTGTGCAAGGGGCCCTTCCAGGACTTGGCACCAGGGCCAGACCTGAAGGATTGACAAAGGGAAGGTGAAAGCCCCCTCTGTGATCCTAGGACCCTATAAGATTTCGCATCCTGACTCCAAAGCCGGGACGTGCTACAACCAGGAAGACCGCACTACCTCTTCCCTAGCTCTGTCCTCAGGCAAGGCCATGCCCTTTGTGCGGCGATATCCCAGGGCAATCCAGCCCACAGTAGAGACCAAGCCTCAGCCCGAATGGGCAACCGTTTTGCAAAGCAACAAGCAACTCTTCACCCTCTGTCTTCATGGGAAGAACCGGAGAGCACTGCCCAGGCCCCTAGAAAACCCAACCCACGTCAAGATCTGCGTGTGTTATGTTCACATTCACGGAGACGTTAGATCCGTGGTGGGCGACCTACGGCTCAGGGGGGTTCTATGTGTGGCCCACAAGACATTTTGTTTGCCAGTGTCCATGTGCAGGGTTGCCAGAGTCTGCTGGTTTCCCGCCAAGTAGCTTTTCCCCTCCTGGTTCTACACAAAACAGCCCATTCGCTTCGCTCTGGACCAGCTGAGCTCCTTCCAGGCCGAGGGTAATCCCCCCAACCAAGGGAGCTGACAGTAGTAAGAGTGGAAGGGGCGGGGTCTCAGGCAGAAGGGGTGGGGTCTCAGGCAGAAGGGGCGGGGCCTCAGGCAGAAGGGGCGGGGCCTCAGGCAGGCAGTCCTCAGTGCCACCCAAACCACAGGACTGCCCGCTCCCCTCAGAGCCACGTGGAGCAATTGAAAGGGCTCAGGGCTCCAGTCGCCACCGTACTAGGAGCGGCAGCAGCA